CCCCCCCCCCCCCCCCCCCCCCTGCTCGCAATGCTGTCCCGGATTGCTCTCTCCACCAGCCGGCCTCTGGGCTCCGCTGCCATGTCCTCCTATGGTGCGTTACGATCTCCCCCAACGCCATCGCGCCATTGCTTGCTCTGACCTTGCCATTCGCCCTTGCCCATGCTGCTCCCCTGTCGGCTCCTCTCCTGTGTAACCCCTATCAGCGGTGCGTCACCCCCCCCCCCCCTCCCCCGCCTTGGCTCGCCCTCCCTTGTGCCCTGCTGCTGACACTGGCCCTTCTCCCTCCTGTCCCGAACTCCACTCGGCCAAACTGCTCAGGCTGCGTCCACTCGCGTCGCCTGGGCCGGCGGCATCCCGCCTCCCCCGCCCGTCAACGAGCCGGTCCTCGGTTACCGCCTCAACTCGCCCGAGCGTGTCGGTATGTGGTCCTGCTTCTCGGCCCGCCTCCGCGCGCGCGCGCGCGCGCGCACCCACCTCAGAATGCAAATGCTAACTCCACTCCCTGCCCTCCCCCCCCCTCCCTCCCTCGCGCCCGACCCCAGGCACTCTGGCCGCGTATGAGCGCATGCGCACGCGCGACCCGGTTGACATCCCGATGATCATCAACGGCCAGGAGGTCTTTACTGGGAATGTGGTGGAGCTGACCCCGCCGCATGACCACAAGAACGTCTACGCCCGGATCCATGTGGCCGATGGCACTGGTCTGGTCAAGGAGGCCGTGTCCGGGGCTCTGGCCGCCCGGGCCGAGTGGGAGTCCATGTCCTCGGAGGCGCGGTCCGGCATCTTCCTCCGCGCGGCCCGGCTCCTGTCCACCAAGTACCGCCATGAGGTGTGCGCGGCCACCATGCTCGGCCTGTCGAAGAACCTCTTCCAGGCGGAGATCGACGCTGCCTGTGAGACCATCGACTTCTGGCGCTTCAATGCCTTCTATGGTGCGTTCGGTGGTGGCGTTTGTTCCTCGCTTGCCGTCGCGCGCGCTCCTCCTAGCTAACTTGCTTTCCCCGCTCTTCGCACGGACACACACACACGGACACACGCACATACACACACACACACGGACACACACACATACACACACACACACACACACGGACACACACACACACACACAGCCAACGAGATTTACAGCCACCAGCCGGCCGCCCACTCGCCCGGCGTCTGGAACCGCCTGGAGCACCGCCCCCTGGAGGGCTTCGTCGCGGCCATCTCCCCCTTCAACTTCATTGCCATCGGGTCCAACTTGGCCAGCGCCCCGGCGCAGATGGGCAATGTCGTCGTGCTGAAGCCGGCTCTCGAGACCGGCCTGGCTTCGAGCCTGATGATGCGCATCCTCCAGGAGGCCGGCCTGCCGCCCGGTGTCATCCAGTATGTCCCGGTGCTGGATCCCCGCGGGGACTTCACCCAGGACGCCCTGCACCATCCGGCCCTGGGTGGCCTGCACTTCACCGGCAGCACCAATGTCTTTGCCCAGCTGCAGCGTGACATCGCCGCCGGCATCGGCGGCAACCCGGACACCGACCCGGCCCCGGGCGATTCCACCGGTCGCCAGCCGTACCACTCCTTCCCCCGGCTGGTCGGCGAGACCGGCGGCAAGAACTACCTCTTTGCCCACGAGTCGGCCCTGGCCTCGGAGGAGGGGCGTCGCGATGTGGCGGCCCAGCTCCTGCGCGGTGCCTTCGAATTCAACGGCCAGAAGTGCAGCGCCACCAGCCGTGCCTATGTCCCGGCCTCCCAGTGGCCCGCTCTCCGCCGTGTGGTACGTCCTGCCACCTCCCTGTCCCTCGTCCCTGCCAGCCTCCAGATCTGCCCTGCCTGCCCTGCCTGCCCTGTCCATATTCTCACCCTATGCCCGGCCCGGCCTTCCGGCTCCCTTCTTCCGCTGCGTCCCCCCCCCCCCCCCCCTCCCCCCAGCTCGAGGAGGAGGTTGCCCGCATCAAGGTTACCGGTCCCTCGGATCCGCAGAGCTTCGTCACGGCCGTCATCAATCGCCCGGCCTTCGACCGCCTGGCTTCGGCCATCGAGGGCGCCAAGGCCGACCCGGAGATGGATCTTGTGGCCGGTGGCGAGTGCGACGACCGGGTTGGCTACTTCGTCGGGCCCACCGTGCTGGCGGTGGACCTGGCTTCGCTGGGGGGTGGTGCCTCGGCCGCCGGGCATATGGCCGCGCTGGAGCGCGCCCATGCCAAGCACACTGTCCGGTCGGAGCTCTTCGGCCCGGTGATCACGGTGGTGGTGTACGACGACCAGCACTGGCAGGCGGTGGCCCGGGCCGCGGCCGATGCCAGCCCCTATGCCCTGACCGGGGCCATCTTCGCCCGCGATCGCCGGGTGCTCGAGGAGCTGGCCTCCACCCTGCGCCATGCCCAGGGGAACCTCTACCTCAACGACAAGTCCACTGGCGCCGTGGTCGGGCAGCAGCCCTTCGGCGGCAGCCGCCGGTCCGGCACCAATGACAAGGCCGGCCACGCTCTCAACCTCCAGCGCTGGGTCAGCACCATGGCCATCAAGGAGAACCTCTCGGCCCCCCTGACCACCTGGGAGTACCCGTACATGATGGAGTAAGATGCCCCCCCCCCCCCCCCGACCTGGTCCGGCCCTCCGCCAGGCGCCCTCCTCTGCCTCGGAATTCGGGCATGTGCGAGAGGCCTGGCGGCGCTGTGAGGGGGAGCTCCGCCAGGGGAGCCGTGCTTCTCGGTGCCTGCTGCCCTGGTGGGGCCCTCCCAGGCCATGATGACAAGCCACAAGAAAGCCCCATGTTTGGGAATACACATATGACACATGGGATTTTTCCCCTTTCCTTTTCTTTCGGTCTCCCTTTTTTCGACAAGCGGAATGTATTTTCGAAGGGCGGGGGAGAGAAAAACAAGGAAGGAAGAACTATAATACAAGAGGGGGGGGGGGGGGGCGACACCAGGAGGAGGGAAGGGACCCTCGTCCAGGGCCTAGAGCCGTACCCCGAGGATGGGAGCCAAGCGCGGCAACGAGGTAACCACCAACCGTTGGCCACAATCCATGAACAGCTGGTCGCCGCGCACCACCAGACGATTGATGATGATCGACGGGTCTAATAGATCCCACTCCAGGGGGAAGAGGGCCTGGTCATCGCGGCCGGGCTGGAGAGACGGCATGCCCAGCGCCCCGGTGCCGGGCGGCGCATCGACCACGCGCACAGGGACCCCGCCGGCACATTCGGCACATGCGTCGGCCAGCTGGCCGCCGGCCAGCCGCCGCGGCTGGGCAGCGGCCTCGCCAGCCACAAGACCGGGCGGAACTGCCCGGGCCAGACACACCGGCCGGCCATCGGCGATGTGGATCGGCACACAGCCAACCGCCCGGCCACGCGCCAACTCGAAGACCCGGAACCCGGCACGGAAGTCGCCGGCCCCGGCATCCGGCGCGGCGGGCACCACTCCCGGCCCGAGGATGAGCATCTGGTCACGAATGGCAAAGCCCACACACCCGGGATTGGCCAGGCGGCGAACCGTGCGGAAGGTGCCGAGATCACACAGGAGGACCGTCTCGTCTTCGGCCGTGGTGACCAGCGTCCCGAGCGACTCGTCCAGGTGGAGCTGCCGCACCGGGAACCGAGCATGGCCATGGTGCACGGACAGGCATTCCCCGGTCTCGGTGCACCACCGGCGCACCTCGCCATCCTTGGCCCCGGACACCACCCGGAGCCACACCCGGGTCGGGGGAGCGGCCACTCGCCCCGGGGACCCGCCGATGGCACTGGCGGCCGAACTCGCCGGGGGGGCGGCTTTGCCGGTGGTGGCGGCCTCCGGCGAGGTGCCCATGGCCGCGAGGGCCGCGCGCACACGCGCCAGCTCCGGCAGGCGGCTTGAGGTCGGCAACGGAGCCCCCGAAGAGGAGGCCGCATCACCGAAGGGGCCGAGCCCGGCATCGCCGGCGATCGATTCGTCGGCCGCAACGCGCCAGGTGACACACCGTGAGAGGGCCGTCACCGGGGTCGTGTGCCCATGCAACACCCGCAGTGGCCGGCGCAAGTCCTCCCCCGGCAGGTGCCCCTGCAGGTGGTACAGGTGAATGGACCCGCTGGCCAGGCCGACGGCCAGCAGCCCGTCCGGGCCCAAATCCAAGCAGGTGACACCGGCCGGGTGGGGGATTTGCACGAGACAGCGCAACTCCGGCAGCGTCCACACCGAGACCAGGCCCCCGGCGGCGCCAGCCACCAGGAGCTGAGCCCGAGCCGAGACCACCAGCCCGGTGATGGCCCCGCCGCCGGGAGGCAGCAGAGAACGCGGCGGACAGGCCGACCCCCCGGCATCCAGGCCGCCGCCAGTGGCATCCAGGCAGAAGACCGCCCCATCCCCGTGGCCGGAGAAGAGCAGGCGGTCGGCCGCCGCCAAATGCCACGCCGGGCTGGGAAGCCGATAGCACACGAGCTGCACCCCGGAGGTGGGGTCCCACACGCGAAGGGTCCGGTCCAGGCTGGCCGAGGCGGCCAGCCACTCGGCGCAGGCCACCTCCTCGGCCGGCAGGTGCCCAAGATCCCAGGCGGCCTGGGCCCCGGTGTTGGAGGCCAACTCCCGGCGCAAGGCCCATGCAGGGGCCCGGAAGGCCAGCTGCGGCGGCCGGAAGGCCACGAAGGCCGTCACATCGGCCTGGTGGCCGCGCAATGCCAGGCTCTGGGCCTGGGAGCAGGGGACCGGCGCGCCGGGCGGCGGCATGACGTGCTGCCCGTCGCGGCCATCGGGCAGGCCCGGGCCGCCGGCCAGCGGAGTCGGGGTCAGCCATGGCGGAGGCACCACCGCCGGCCGGCGGAGCTCCAGCAAACCGAACACATCGAACCACCGGAGCCGGACCACGGCCAACAAAACCGCCATGCTGACAATCAGCATGGCAATCAGCGCAAAGACCGCCAGCAGCGGGGACAGTTGACCCAGCGCCGGGGCCAAGTACGCCAGCAAGGCCGACACCCAGGCCGCCGCGCGGACGGACGCCGGCCCGGACATGGGGCTCCCCTGGCCCCGGACCAGGGCCGCCCCGGCCTGCAGAAGCCACACCACCAGCAGGCGCAAAGGCCGCGACCAGGACCCGGAAGAGGGAGGCGCGTCGGGGCCGGCACCCGCCCCGGTGCCAGGGCCGCCGGAGGGCGGAGTCGACATGGCCGGACGCTTGGCCGACCCGTCGCCGCCCAGGGCCCCCGGCAACAGGTCCGCCAGACTCCCGGTCCAGGAGGCGCGGTCGCGCCAGGACGAGGCCGACCGGCGCCCATCCGAAGGGGCACCGGTTGTGGGGATCCCACGGCGGTCATGAGCGGCGCCGCCCGGCCGGCCGCCAGCCCGGCGAGCTGTGTCACTGATGAGGGCATCCGACAGGCTGACGCACGACCCGAAGGCAGGACGGTCGGGCGAGCTGGGATCGGCCCGCGCGGAAAGGGTCACCAGCGTTACGGGATGGATTTCCACCAGGAGGTCCACCCCGGCCGGGTTGGCCACAGACCAGATGCTATCACTCACCGGCTGCGGTAGCCACCGGTGGAAGGCCTCCAGGAAGGCGGTTCCCGACTCCTGGAAACGGCGAATGTCCACCTCCGACGCGGGCTCCCACCCGGCGAAGGAGCTGCCATCCGGAGGCGTGGCCACCGGTGCCGACTTGGCCGGCATGGAGGAGCCGCCGGCGCCGCTGTCGGGCCGCGCGCCGGCCGGAGCCGAGAGGAGGTGCATGCGCACCGTCTCGGTGAAGAGCCGGGCCGGACGCCACCCCCCGGAACCCAGATCCGCACCGGCGCTCCCCACCCCGGCCATGGGCCACAGATCCATCGAGGAGTCGGCCCACCGAGGGGAGGCCAGAAGATGATCGACCGGCGTGGGCAGCGCCCCGGTCGGGTTGATGCTGCCGCTGTTGCTGCTGCTGCTGCTGCTGTTGCCGAAGAGCCCGAGCCCGATGGCCAGCATGATGACACCGATGATGTAGACCCCGGGAATGATGGCCGGGTGTTCGAAGGGATCGACCGGGCGCCGGGCCTGCCCCCCGGGGGACCCCCCCTGGATGGGACCTGTGGACTTGGCGGCCAGGCGCTGTGCCAGGCGCGCGCCGCCCGGCAGCGCGGCCACCAGTCGGCTGGCTGGGCGCAAGAGCGGTCGCAGGGCCCCCGGTGGGGCCAGAGCCGGGGTGTGCTTTGGCGAGGGGGAAAACCCGGTGCCGATATCAGCTCCAGCGCTGCCGGCCTCCCAGCGCATGGATGCCAGCGAGGTTTCCGGGTTCAGGGTGGACCCGGTGGGCAAGGGGCCCCCAGCGGCCGGGTAGCCGCCATGCTGGAGGAAGCGGTCCATGCGAGGATTGTGCAGGTCGGAGAGCTGCGCGGAGGGGCGAAAGGAGCCATCAAAGGGTGATGGGCCTCCCGAGAAGGGGAGAGGGGGGGGGAGAGGGGCGTGAGGAAACAAGCGCCGAAGGGAGGGGATGCGGTCAGGGGAATGCCGCCACCGGTCGTACCTCCAGACATCGGATGTCGATCGAGAGGACCGTGGCAAAGAAGGACATGTGGATGAAGAAGTTGATGATCACAGCAACTGCGGTGAACATGCAAAATTCCTTTTTTTTTCGTCACACGAGAAGAGAGATGGATGTCAGCGAGGAGGGAGCGATAAATAAACAAGTGGGCTTGAATGGTGGAACGGAAGAAGACGAAGAGGAGGAAGAGGAAGAGGAAGAGGAAGAGGAAGAGGAAGAGGAAGAGGAAGAGGAAGAGGAAGAAAATGATGACGATGATGACGATGATGACGATGATGACAATGATGATGATGGTGATGATGAAGAAGAAGAAGAAGAAGGGGAAGAGACGGGGAGGAGGACACCAATGCAACATACCGTCAGAGCCTGGATGTTGAAGAAGCCCCCGAGGGCCATGAGAACCAACTCAAGGACGAGGTTCCGCAGGATCGAGACACCGGCACTGCCGAGCCCCCGGCCGACGCGCTCTTTCACGGGCAGGTCGCACGGGGTGGCGGTCACGGCATTGGTCAAAGCAAAGGTGCTCTCTAGGCCGATGGCCAGCACGAGGAAGGAAAGGAGCTCCCTGTGGTTGGGACACGCGCAAAGATAACAATAAGGAAGAAGGGCGGATCAGCACATTGGCCGCGAGGGGTTGCCAGACAGACAGAGAGAGGACCACGCACCATGGGAGCAGGCCCAATTCGTAGCCCAGGAGCGAGCACACACCGATGGACATGATCAGCGACGCGAAGACGATCATCAGTGCCGAGAAGGCCAGGCCGAACTTGGACTTGACCAGCTCAACACGACCGAGCATCAGCGACACATACACATACACCAGCAGGTAGGACAGGAAGATGATCGCCGCCTCCAGGAGATACATGCGCCCGGCGAGAAGACGCTGCAGTGCACCGCCGTCGGGGCCGCCGGCATGCTGGCGTGCTCCGCCGGCCGGGGAGTTCGGATACTGGAAGGGGAAATGATGAGGGGCATGATGTCAGCAGGGCAGGGCAGGGCAGGGCAGGGCAGGGAAAGGCAGGGGAGAAGGTGCCCAAATGGCAGGGGCAAGGAGGCGGGCGGCCGGGGGGCAAACATCGGCACATACGGAATAGAGGAAGCGATTGGTTTGACCAAGCCGATGGACCCGTGCCGGACCCGGAGCCCCGAGCAGCGCATGCCCGGCTGGCAGAGTGAGGCCATCATCTTGGAACAGTGCCGCGGGCAGAGTGGCATCACACTCCGGCGTGTCGGTGGCCTCGGGCTCTGGGCGTCCGAGAGGGACCGAGGGGGAAAAGTCCCCCGAGAGGGAACGCTGCCAGAAGCTGTGCCAGAAATTGTCCACCAATCCGGCCTGCTCATGTCGAACCATGCTCAGGAAGGTTAACTGCACGGAGGCGGCGCGGGACCAGCCAGAGGCTGAGAGACGGAGCGGGGCGGCGAAAGAGAGGAAGGGGGGGGGGGAGGGAGAGAGAGGGGAGAGGGAGGGAGAACCATCCGGGTGATGTCGGAGGGGAAGATCGTTAGAGCCGCAGAGTGGGCAAGCCGGTGACATGGCACACAGGTGGATTCACACGACAGGACGCACCACCGGCAGCGGGGGAGGTCGACCGGCCATCGGACGGCGCTGCGGCGCCCGACAGGCCCCCAAAGAGGGATCCCGCCTCGATCAGCGATCCGAAGGAGGACCGGGCGTCACGTCGGGCCACCGTGCCACGAATGTCCCCATCGGCCAGCAAGCGTCCGGCATCTGACAGCCAAAACTCCAGTGGCGTGTGGATCAAGCAGCGCGAAGGGTCGGAGGAGGCGCGCCAACAGATGTCCCGGAACCCGGTGGTCGCGGAGCTTGGGCGAATCGGGTCGGCGGCCGGGTCCTCGGTGGACAGCGAAAGGAGATCCTCCACCGGGGAGGCAGCGTCCGGGAGGAGGAGAAATTGTTCGACGGCGCTCTGAAAACGCAGGACCGACAGCAAACGCGCCGTGTCCAGCAGACCCCCGTCAGTGCAGGCAGGGTCGGCATTGGTGCCGGTGCCGGCTTCGGTGATCGGGCCCGCCCAGCCGCCCCCGTCGCCGCTACCGACCCATGATGCGGAGGAGGCCGAGGTGGCTCCTTCGCCTGGAACCGGACGCCACTCGCCCTGGCAGCAGTCTCCCGTACGGAAGACCACCGGATCGATGCGCAGGTAGGACCCATGGGAGTAGGCATCGCGCGTGAGTGTGGCGATGGCCTCCGGATCGGCGGAGCCCGGCGCCGGCGCCGGGAACACATTCGGGATGGCGGGTGTACGCCAGTCAGCCGGGACCAGGGCCCCGAGCAGTGGCAGGGCCCCGACGGCCGCGCCAACCGCCGCCAGCCCGGGCAGGCCGTGCTGCTGCCAATCAAGCGACAGGCCGAAGAGAGTGCGGCCCGAGGGGGAGGCCGCGGCCAGGGCGGCCCGCTTGGCCAGGACCTTCTCGAAGGAGTTCATGGCCGGATATGTGCAAATGAGGAAGGCCAAGAAGGTGACATAGATGATGAGGAAGGGATGCGTGGCGCAGTAGAGCCCATGCCGGTAGCAGATGGCCGCCACGCGGGACTGAATGGCCGCCGAGAGCTGTGACACGGGCGAGTCGCGAGTTCGAAAGACGGTAGTGTCAGCGGGGATCTGGCCGGCCCGAGGGCGAAGAGGAACGGGGGGGGGGCAGCGGCAGAGGGGGATCTCAGCGGAGAGGCCGTACGCTGGAGCGACACTGCTTGAGGAAGGACTCGCGGGCTTTGGGGCGTGGCGCGTGCGTGGCATTGGGGTGGAAAGACGGCGCCCCGGTCGCCGTCGCCGCTGCCGGCCCCGGGGCACGGTGTGAGTCCGGGTGCAGGGTATCCCCGGCGCCGACTTCCATGGTGTGCGGGCGGCCGCCGGGGAGAGGGGAGGGAGATGGGATAGGGGGGGGGGGAGGAAAGAGGGGCGAAAAGAGGGAGCCGGGAAGATGGGTGAGGCGGGAGGCGGGCAGCAGGAAGTGGGAGGCTACGGGAAGTGGTCTGTGTCGCGGAAGCGGGGGTGCCCTGGGGGAGGGGGAGGAGGGAGAGGATAGATGTCGGCGTGGTCTCGGGGCCCATGAAAGCAGATGCTGCCCCGAAAAACCAGCCCGCGCAGGGGGGGGGTGTCCGAGCGACGGGGGCAGGGGAACGAGGGCAGGGGGCACCACACCCGTGAGGCCCCTCGTTCCCCCCCCCTCCCCCCCCCCCGGGCGACGACCCAGCGCGATGGCGGCGGTGTGTATGGTCTCCCCTTCCGGGTTCGCGGATTTCCGCGCCCTGCCGCCCCTCCGGCTTGGGCAGGGCGAAAAAAAAGGGTGCTTGGTGCCAACTGACCGCCTGCGCCGCCCCATCTGCGGGGGCAGGGTGGTCCCCGCCCGGGGGCGGAGTGGGTGTGGAGGAGCCAGGATCGGCAGGTCCTGGTGCCCCCTGCCCCGGATGGGCTGGGGGGGGGTGGCGAAGTGCGGGCGGGCGGGCGGGGTGAGGGGGGGGGGGGGGGGGGCCTGCCCCACTGCGCCGATTGAAGCGCATCATCCCAAGCCTGGATGGCGTCCCGCCTGGAGGGGCACGATCGGCCATCGAACGGGTCGCTGCCTGCTTGTGCGCGCGCTTACACGCCCACACGCCCCCCCTCCATCAACACACACACACACACACACACACACACACACACAGACACACACACATAATAAAAATAAATACATTAGTGTTACTAACATTGACTTATCGGGCCCGCATTCCGCGGCCATCTATTCCAATGCCGAATATGCCCGGGTCTTTGGGTGCTCCGGGTAAATAGACTGAAGCCCCGCCACGGGAGCCATTTCCCGCAGGCAGGCCTGGTGGCCCCAGCCCGTGGAGAGGCAAATTCGGCGGATGGTCACCCGGACGCCGCCCGCGCCCCCCCCCGGCAGCGGTGCTTTCCCACAGTTGGCCCCGCCGGGCGCGGGCGGGGGAAAAAGATTCTTCTGGTCAGACGCGGGTTTCCCCCGCCCCCCCCCCCCCCCTGGAACCGCGAGC